TCGTTCAACCGCCTACAACTGTTATTCTTGGATCGTGGGGTGTGATAAGGTTGTTCAATAACTGCTGCTCTAGATAGCCATATTACCTCATGTTTGCTAAGATCATGGGTGATTCGAAGGTTTGGGCCAGAATAGACTCGTTCGCTCTGAGCGATTTTAAGGCACTCCACTGGCTCAAATTTTGGGCGTCTTGCAAGTTTTGTCGATGACGGTATCTTTTTCGTGGGCCTCCACTACATTCATTAATGGTCTTATTTGAGCCTTCATCCTGAACTTCCTAACTGGATCTTATCCCTTGAGCTACTCGATTTGGGCTACACTTTTTGGATATCAACAGAGGCCTACCTCATGCTCTCCTCCTTTCTAGAAAACTCATCCGACTTGCCAACATAGTAAATAAGTAAGTTCAAAATAAGTAATTTTTTTGCTAAACAAATTGAAAAAATGGTGACCTATACTAAAAATTATTTTCAAAACAAAGTTTCTTTACTTTAACATTAAAAAGTCATCTATCCAAAAATAATTTATTACTCATTTTTGAGCTTAACAAAACGTACACTACATATTCACTATGCAGGATCGTTTCGCATTGACCACGAAAAAAGGACTGGTATAAAAAAATCGCCATTTTATCTCTATCAGCTCACTCTGCTTCTCTATTTATGTACAGTACGTGCTTCGTGAACAGAGCAAGGAATCCAATAGAAATCTGTGATACAAAAACAGAGCAAAAAATGACTGTACTGAGCAATGACAATCCGGAAGCTTATGTCAAAATTCCCAAAATTAAGTTCACAAAATTGTTCATCAATGGAGAGTTCGTTGACTCCGTTTCAGGTTGTCGATTTCTCATTCTTTTTGTGTTATTTTTTTTCATTGATTTGATGTTAATATTCTGTTTTTAAGTTTGTTGTTGACATTTTTGGCAAACATTAAATTTCTATGTAATGGATTTTATACACGATGGATTTCCTGGTCCCTGGAATGTTTAGTAGCAGTTAAGTTTTTTGTGGTGAGGTTTCTTTAATCATTTCCCATAGAGATTTTCGTCTGAAGTCTTAAAAGTTTGAATGGAAACACAAGTTCCGCACGTGATTTATGTTTAATTTATTGTGTTATTCTGCCTTTTCAATAGGAAAACAGGGCTAGCATACGTTTTGATTTATTTTTTTGGAAATATTTCTGCGGATTATCAATAAGCAACAGGGATTTTGTCGGCAAAGTATTGCTTTTGAAATGACCAGTTTTGTGTTTTCGTTTTTCTTTCGGTTTTTCAATATTATGAAACATCGCTTGTATTTTCTTTGGTTGTTTAAATACAAGAATTAGATGAAATGATGCTCGAAATATATGATTCTGTAACCTTTTTCCAAGTTCATTGTACTGCTATAAATCATAAAGTGCCGATTTTAGATATTTTGGTTGATTGTCAATTTGTATATCCAAGATCCCATAGGAGCAAGAGTTTGACTGAGAGCTCGAAAATTCATTTTTAAAATTCTCAGCTGAAGGCTTTATCTCTCTTCATTTACTACAGAATACTGTAATTCGTAAGATAACGCATTGGAAGATTTGGCTGTTTCTTGATTGGGATTAATATGTTGTAAATAAACTGAAAGGTGAGAGTAAACATTTAAATGTGCAGGGAAGACCTTTGAGACAGTAGATCCGAGAACTGAAGAAGTGATTGCAAGAATTGCAGAAGGGGACAAGGAAGATATTGATTTGGCTGTCAAGGCTGCTCGTGATGCTTTTGATCACGGCCCATGGCCTCGCATGCCTGGATGTGTAAGTATACAGATACATTAATTTCTTATGGGCCACACCACACCATATATATAATAGAGTGATGAACAATGTTTTGTGGCATTACATGGTTGCATTAATTTGCAATAGAAATATTACAAGTGATGGTAACCCACACTTTCTTGAAAGTATGTAAATTATAATATTGTTTAGAGTAGATAGTTGAGACTTGAGAGCCATGTTACACCCATAAAATCAATGAGGATATATATTCTGCGTATCCGTGGATAAGATTATGATCACCTGATTTGTTATTTGTTTACCTTTGTTTATCTTGTTGATTAATGAAAGTATACAATTGCCATGCAATTCGTATCATTGCACCGGGATCCTAATAAAAGATCAAAGAAAATGGAAAAATGATTTTTCAGAAATGCAGTAGTTTATCGATTTTTATGTTGCAAAGTGTTGACGAGTCTCCCTCCCATCTTTCTTTGATTTGGCATGCTAAAGGGTAAACCAATCTGAGCTTCTTTGCTTGCTTAGATGGAAACCAATTTTTTCAACTAGGTGAACTGAACCATTTAAATTAAGACAAAAGTTTTGAAAAAAGACTTATCTCTATGATCCTTTGGTCCAGGGGGTCCTTATAGCTTTTATGTGCAGCACATGTTTCAAAGTTTAATTTCGATAGTTTCATTCTAAATCAGTGTTCTCTTGGATTGAGTCAGGAAAGAAGAAGGTTAATGTTGAAATTCGCAGACTTAATTAATGAAAATGTAGAAGAATTAGCTGCCTTAGATACAGTTGATGGCGGAAAATTATACAGCTTGGGCAAAATAAGAGACATTCCTAGCAGCGCAGAAATTATCCGTTACTATGCAGGTGCAGCTGATAAAATCCATGGGGCAACTTTGAAAATGTCAAGGGATCTACAAGCATATACGTTGCACGAGCCTGTAGGTGTTGTGGGTCACATCATCCCGTGGAACTTCCCGAGTCAAATGTTTGTCATGAAAGTGGGCCCTGCCTTGGCTGCTGGATGTACCATGGTTGTCAAACCTGCTGAACAAACACCTCTTTCAGCACTTTACTATGCTCATTTAGCTAAGCTGGTAGGCCTGCAATTTTTCTCTGTACTTTGGAAAGAATATCAGAATGTACACAATTTGACTCGTATCATGCCTTTTGGGTTTGGGCTCACTATTTTTAGATTTCATACTTTTTCCTTACACCAGGCTGGTATCCCGGATGGAGTGCTTAATGTGATAACAGGATATGGATCGACAGCTGGTGCCGCCATTAGTTCTCACATGGACATTGATAAGGTGGTGTTCAATACGTATAATTAGCAATCAGGAAAACAAAAGGAAAAAATAGGGAGAAACGAAAATACTGTAAGATTGCTTGGAACTTGTGTTCCTATAGATCTATAATATGTCATTTTTATGTTTCTTCAGGTTAGTTTTACAGGATCTACAGAAGTTGGGCGTCTCGTAATGCAGGCTGCAGCAGCAAGCAACCTGAAACCTGTCTCGCTAGAACTGGGAGGAAAGTCCCCATTTATTATTTTCGATGATGTGGATGTAGATAAAGTTGCTGATCTTGCTCTCCAGGGATCTTTCTATAACAAGGCAAAGTAACTTCCTTTCTTCCTTCCATAATTGTTTTCTGACTAATGATATTAAGGTATTTTCCTTTCCTTTATCCTTCGTCCAGGGGGAAATATGTGTGGCCGGTTCTCGTGTTTTTGTTCAAGAAGGGATATATGATAAATTTCTCATTAAGTTGGCAGAGAAGGTGAAATCATGGGTTGTTGGGGATCCTTTTAATCCAGAAGTTCATCAAGGACCCCAAGTATGAATCTGGATTCAGTTTTGTTTATGGATATAGCAATATTTTGGAATTTATTATATTATCTAAGTGTAGTGGCTAGAAATCTGTTTTTCCTGTTCTTGTTTTGACAAAAAAATATTTTGTTGATATATACTTCTTGTAATCAATACTTTTTATCAATTTACAGGTTGATAAGCAACAATATGACAAGATACTTTCATACATTGAGCATGGGAAGAAGGGAGGTGCCACTTTGTTAAGTGGTGGCAAGCCTGGTGGAGAAAAGGGATATTATATCGAACCAACAATTTTCACTGATGTCACGGTATTTAAAATCACAGTTTCTTGCACTTTGATTATCGAATTAATATTTACTATCAAGTGCTGAAGTTTATATTTTGCAGGATGATATGATCATCGCAAAGGAAGAAATATTCGGACCTGTTATGTCGGTTATGAAATTCAAGTATGTATTATCACTAGTTATTCTTCTTGCATTTATAAAAGCCTGAAGAAAGTTCTCCCTCTTATTTCTTATCTGCGAGAATTTTGCTATTCGTGTCAAGAATGTTTAGTTAAGCTTAAAGACAAGCAAAAGTTACTTTGAGTGTGGATAAAGTTACGTCTTTTCTTACTTAAGTTTGTTTCCAAGAATGTTTTATATTTACTTTTGAGTAAAAAAAAGTACTTATTTTAGCTTATTTCTTACCTTACTGTCAAAATAAGTAAATTACTTATTTCCAATCCTCTTTCATTGATTGCAACAAAATGAAGGACCGTTGAAGAGGTGATCAAGAGAGCTAATGCCACAAAGTATGGACTAGCAGCCGGCATCATGACCAATGACTTGAACACGGCCAACACAGTATCGAGATCAATCCGTGCTGGTGTCATTTGGATCAACTGTTATTTTGCTTTCGACAGAGACCTCCCATATGGCGGATATAAAATGAGCGGTTTTGAGAGGGACTTTGGATTGGAAGCGCTCAACAAGTATTTGCAGGTTAAATCTGTTGCTACCCCAATTCACAATTCTCCGTGGCTGTAAATTTGTTTCGCTCTTCGACAGAAGCATAAACATGAAATTTCCACGATTTAACTTGTGATGATGCTTTTTATTATGTAACATTGCAGCGAAATAAACAGTTTTCTTTTTCTTTGTATGATCTTGATAATGTTTGTTTGTAATTTATATGAAGTTTTGGTATTTCGCATGTAATAATGATTTACCATATTAGAGGATATTGCCAATATGTTCCTTTCTTATTGAGGACTATGGTATCGTACTATAGTCGAATCCAAAATGGAGGATATTGCGAATATGTTCATACCATTATATTTTAAGTATCTTTGACTGAATTTAAATAGTTACTTATTTTGTCATTTGAGTTACTTTCAGAGTAAGTAACTTATTATGAACTTTTGTATTTGTGAGCTTTTTGTTGAGCGAGTTTTCGATTCTCAATGTCACGGGGAGGATGTGGGTGGGATTATCGAGTAGTAGTTCGAATATTTCAAAATTTACTGTTTAATATAGTATTTGGCAATCCATCAACGTTTTTAATGTTCGACTCTTGTGCTAGATGGGAAGTATCTTTGCGTCAATAATTTTGGGGATACGACGTCTGATCTAAATTCAAGCGCTCCAATAATTAAAATTGTGGACTGACCTTTCTTACAAGTGGACAACTGATTACGAGTGTCAAGTTTCATGTGTTGCGAATCATAGGCGACATGTTCATCACGCTTAATTTAATGTGTCCTCCTTGTTTGATTAAACACTTGCTATGAAGTTGGTGAATTTCTTCTAGCCTTCCTGTTCAATCTCTCTTCTTTGTGTATTTGTATTAGGCGAGTGAAATTTGCCATTTGGTTGGAGTGTTGGTCGCCCACCTAGTCCAACGTCTTGTCTTGTGTTTATTTTTTTCTAATTATTTATCTTTCTTGTGTGTTTCTTTAGGCGTGTGAAATTTGCCTTTTGTTTGGTCATTTTGTTTTTCCAATAGCGGGTATATTAGTTGCTTGTTGGAGGAGAGTAGTCTTGTTAATTTCCAAATAACAAGATTTAATTTAGATCAAATTACTTTCTTAAATTATAATACAATTTTCTAACTTTTATAGAAAAATTTCCCTTACGTTGTCCTTGATTCTCACGACAATATCATCTTGTTATTGAATTTGCATGTTCATTTTTTGAGGTCGTAAAACAATTATCGTAACCACGTTTCGCTCAATTTAGAAGATCCAACTTTATGGACCTATTTGATGTAAATTTTTTGATAATAAAATTTGTAAAAAGTGATATATATATATATATA